CTCCACATCTGATATCTCACTCTAACTGCCGGGCGGAGTAACAATACTATCTGTCGTTCATAGCAATGTACAATCTTTAAATTGTTTTTGTTTTTTTTAAGAAAGGTTTTTTGCTATAAGGCGCATGCACTCAGGAGAGGCAAAGAGATACAGAAACACAGAAAGCAAGGAATCACTCCCCACCCCACCAGGGGGATGGCCAGCCGCAATTCTCCTCCATTTTCCTCCTGGGATCTTGGGCATGCACGCACATGTGCTGCCAGGACCAGGACTTGAACCGTGATTGAATATGTGGGAGTCCAATGACGTAACCATTACTCCATCTGCTGGTCCCAATTAATTGTTCTTTAAGGTAAGCCTCCTAACTACCTTGTGCCACAGGCTGCGTCTTCCAGATGAGGCCCACAGACACTAAGCAATTAGCTAGAATCACAAGTCAGTCGACAATGTTTTCCTTTGGCTCACGTAAGAAAAGCATTCGTTCCTTGCCTTGACTGCGTTGTTATTTTCTTCCACTAAGGTTTTTATTACAAGGATCAATCCTTATTAACTTTTTTATAAAAATAATTATTATTGAATGTTTCATATGCTAATGCAAGGCAGTGTTCTAAGGGCTTTACAAATGTTCACTCATTTAATCCTACTAACAAGTCTGTAAGATAGATACTATTTTATCCTCATTTTACAGATGAGGAAACTGAGGCATAGAGAGATGAACTTGTCAAAAATCACAGGACTATGATAGAGAAGGAAGGTTTGAATAGAGAAAGTGTGCATCCAGGGTTGTGCTCTTCAACACACTATTCCGCTTAGGAAGAGTCTACAAAGAGCCTTGCTTAGGACATCAGAGCAGTTGTTCAACAAGAAAAAAAAAAGTGTCTTTGGTCCTCCCTATGTGATTTATTTGATTATATTCTAAAACCTTTCCTCATGCCAATAGAACTACGTGTAAGTACTATACTAAATTTTCCTGTACTGAAGGCATATGCAATGGTTACCTTGACTGACACATAAAATACCCAAAACAAAATACCCTAAGACTCGAGGATTTTTTGTTTCATGAATTAGAGACATGAAAGGATTGCCTAGGCATCAAAAATGCTATGTCCTCACATCCATAAGTCTTTCTGGGGGATTTTCATATTTCTTACACAAAAATGTTCTCTGTCTGAAATATTTTAACATTCACTCTGTACCTGAGCTTGAAAATTATCTAATCTTTTAACAAATGTTTTTTCATTTTCAACTGCTTTTTCTTCAGGCATGGGGCAAGCACTTGTTTTTAATATCATGTTTAACACTTTTTATGCTTTTCTTTCAATTGTCTTGAAAACATGCTAGTACACATTCAAACATATTGTAAATGATTTGAAATTCGGGGTGTGTATACATACATCAGCAGGAGTTATGAATTATGTCTATCCCAATCCAATATAAATTAGATTTTGAAGAACAAGCATCATAGTCAGGCAGGTCATAATAAGACATTCCATGTGAAATGTAAAAACTACCTTGAATAAATTATCCATAAGTTAACACTCTCATTAGAATGACATATTTATTATTTCTGGGTTTGTGATGTTGCTTTAATGCATTTTGACTAACTGCTCTAATGGCACATTAAGAAACCATTTCAGGCCTTTCTTTTCCCATTGGAATGTGCAGATTTTTATTTACGTTTGAACTAAAATAACATAATATTAAAAACCATCACCCACTTCCCAATGTAGAATACCATTTTCTTCTGCCCAGAAACATTTAATTAAAGCAGGATATAACTTCGGTAATTTTTTTTTTGCACACAATGACTCTAAAATTAATAGTCAATTGTAAGACTGTTTAAAAATTGGGAGACTGACAATCAAAACAATCTTAAATGCTTTGTTTATGTGATGAAAAGGAGTGATCCTTTAATTCCCTCACACACACTAAACTGATTTCACAGACTTTCTGTACTAGTGTTTAACATAGTCAAGTGCTTGAGGTTATGTAAAATAAACAATCTTGAGATCTTATTGCAAATGTTTGCAATTTATGATGTAAACTGATTTGTGAAGAAAAAACAGGATCTCATGTTTTTGGCTGAAGCCAAAAAGGCATTTTTCAGAAATCAAAATAGTTCCGAAATTTGAGCAGTGCATTATACCAAAGTATTACCATCTGAGGATTTAAACAGTTATAAATCCGAGAGAAAACTCAAAATAGATGTGTATTAGTTGGACTCCAAGCAAAGGCCTAGATCTTACTGGGCCTCTTGTATCAGCAGGTCCTTAACACTAAGGAGGTCTTGAATAATCTTCTAATTCAGTTTTCCCCGTCATGGATTTTGTGACTCAGAAAGACTTCTTCCCATGCCACGAAAAATGAGGGTAGGGGGTGTCCATTATTTATGATCATTGAGTATCCACCAAAATACCATGCTTGTTGGGCCTTATTTAAGTTTAAATTGAAGACTTCCTCATATTCCTTAAAATGGCTCAGGGAACTGGAGGTTTGGACCTACCTCTGGTTCACACAGCCAGGCGCCTGCGCAAGTTTAGACTGCAGCTCTGTGTGGGAGCCTGCACCTAAAGGACCCGGGTCCAAAGGGCCAGGGGAGCGGCCTCTGCCCTGGGCGAATCTCGGGGGCCAGACGCCACAGCAGGCGCTCCGCAGGCGGCGCGGGCGCCGGGGACCCACAGGCCGCGCGCGACTGGAGTACCGCGGCCCCGGCGGAGCATCTCGGGCCTTCCCCACCAACTGTCTGCGCTGGCCTCTCCGCCTACGGCGCCCCGGCTGCGGCCCGACCCCGCGGGGCTCTGCGCACGGCCCAGCCGGCTCCCAGGGCCCGATGCGCTCCAGACAGTCCTAGGTCGCGCGGCCGCGCTCCGGGCTGGGGCCGCGCACCTGGGCGGCTGGATCCCGACGCCCGCCTGCTCTGACCTCAGGTTTCCTCCGAGTCCCAGGTCCTCCCCCAGTGACCTCGGACCTTCCTCAGGGGCCGGGGAAAATGCCCCAGCCCGCGTCGGGGACTTGGTCAGGGCTGAGGCTGGGAGCCTGCCCATTCGGAACCGCAGCCCCAGCCCCGGTGGGGTCTCAGCGGAGGTCACAGGGCGGTGGCGGGCGGCGCGGCCGCTTCAGGGGCCACGCCCCCGGGGCATATTTTTATTATAAACACTACGGATGTTCGGGACCCGGAGGCTCACGAGGCCGCATGTCTGAATATGGCCCAGGTCCTGTTCAGGGGCCTTGGAAAGCCAAAGAGAGGAACGCATCGCCCACGTCCAGGCTGAGCACGGCTTTGAACGCGAGCTTCGACCCGGGAGCGGGCCCAGCGGGGCCGGTGGGGAGCAGCGCAGGAGAACGCCGGGCTTCGTCCTGGGCCGGAGGAAGGCCCCTGGGGACAGTTGGGGCACCCTCATCTTCGCGGAGGCCCTACCTCCCGCCGCCCAGCATTGAGAGAGGCAGCGAGGGAGTTGGGCAAGGCCAGGTCTCAGGCCTGGCTAGGTGGTCTCTACCCAGCCTCTAACAGGCAGCACCTTGGGGCTTTATTCGTGTGATTTCTTCCAGAAGGGCACCTGGAGAGAGGGAGAGGTAGAGCCTCGGTATTCAGGGGACTAAGATTGGGCTTTTTCTAAACACGGTTCTGACTTCCAACTTCTCCTAAATTTAACCAACGAAGAAGTTGCTTGGGCCAAAGCGGTGAACACGAGAGGTGGAGGATCAGCTCCCCAAGGCCCTGGCTCATCCCCTAGCCCCCTCCGTGGCTTTTCACCCACTCCCAAGCCAGCATCTGCCTGGCTCTGGGGAGGGTCGGCGACCAGGAACCAAAGGTCCATTTCACCACATCCAGCCTAGGTGAATTTCACACCTTGTGATCCCTCTAGCTTCCTATGGAAATGCCCACCCCCCAAAAAAAAATTCAAGGGTGAAAATAGAGCAAAATAAAGAACAAGAGTCTATCTGAGGGAAGGGGATTATTCTGTTCGGTGTTATTTTACCTATCGGTTCCTTTATTGATTTGGTATAATCCTGTTTCTACCCTGCATGAATAAAACGGGGAGGAGGGCGGGAAGGATGCTCTCAGCGCGCTGGCAAGAGCCGAAGCCACCCTTCTCGCTGCCCCTGGACCGCCGCACTTTGGAGCAAAGGCAAGGCTTTTCCAAGTATATTCGGTAGAGAGATATACATTCATCCAAAAGGAAGAAGGAAAGACTATCCCGGACATTTTAATAGTTAACAGGAACAAAGAAGACTGGAGCCCCATCAAATGAAACAATACTATTTTCATTCACTTGATGGCAAAGTGTCTTCAATGAATAACTTGGCACTTATTTAAAAGATTTAACAGAGGTGGAACCAAAACATTTTATATTGACAAAAGTCATGAAATAACAGCATTTTCTTTTGTTTAAAATAACTTAATACACTAGAAAAAATATGGCAAATATAAATAATTTTGTTTTCATGGAGAACAAATAGTTACAAAGCTCAACCACATACCAAAGTTCAGTCAGAAGAGCTTTTCCTCTTTCTTGTAAATTAGAAGGAAAAACAAAAAAAAAAGGCTTGCGAGAGAATTGGGATACAGATTTCTTAATCCAAGATATCCCAGTTTAAATAGCTACATAAATCGAAACGAACAAAAAATTACTTGAATAGATACAGCTTTGTGAGATAAAATGCAAACGTTGACAAGCCAAACATCAGGTCACACATTATAGCCAAAATAAACTTTGCTCGTGTGTATCAACATATTTTACACAAACCTAGTGCCTGTATCTAGCTGGGTGTTGTTTAAGGAGAATTTAACGGGATAGAGAGGGGGAAATAAAGCACTGTTCTCAAACAGAAGGACAGGAAACCAGCAGGAGGGAGTCCAAGAAAAGGGGAGTGGAGTGAACTAGCATTGATTGAGCGCCTACTGCGTGTAGGTACATGCCACCTGCCGTACCTTCATTATTTCATTTGGTCTTGTTTCTCT